TTTACCAGCATTATACAGCTAATGATAATTAGTACCTGTATGGCCATCAGCAGTGAGAGGAAGGTGTGAGGATGACTGGGTAAGCTACAATAACTTCTGCTACCTACACTCACAGCAACGATCCTACCAGACACTGACCTACACTCAAGCCAGGAGACAGTGCCAGCACCTCGGAGCAGACCTGGTCTCCATACACTCCTCCCACGAGAACACTTTTCTCACGTCTCTCGTCAAGGCTAGTGAGTAAACGTGATTGTTGTAGATTGTTGTTGAGTGCTGGTTTTTATTTTTGTTGGTTGGTCCCTTGGGAAAGCCTGTGAAAGACTTGCCATACACGTAATTCAAACGATACCCCAGCGATATGCGTCATCTAGACAGATGGGTTACCAAGCCAGAATGGTGGGTCACCAAGACAGATGGGTCATCAAGCCGGAAAGATGGGTGACCAAGCCAGTAAGATGGGTAACTCAGGGTAACAGTCCACTAGCACCCAGGTACCTACTTGCTTGCTAGGTGAACGGGATCGAATCTTTGTACGTGCCTGGTAGGCCAGGTACAAAAAAGTACCAGGCCACGTACAAAGGAGTACCAGGCCACGTACAAAGGAGTACCAGGCCACGTACAAAGGAGTACCAGACCACGTACAAAGGAAGCCGTACCACACACAACTTTGGATACACTTTTCTAATCACAGATCGAGGGGGCGTTGACCCCTTGAACACCTGGAGGCTGTTTAGGGGGGCCACTGCTACACTCGAAATTAGAGCCTATGTACTGTTCCTCCGACAGGTAATATATTTTTCTTAGACTAAACTGACCAGTCTGAACCACTTGCCACTAAATAAATTTTAGGCTTTGGGTTAATATCTACATACAAAACTGTACACGATTTGTCCCGAATTTTTTATCTCTGATTTATATAAAGCAAAATACTGTTCTTACATATTAATTATTATTCGTAAACAAAGATATACTGGCATTACTGAGTGACGGTACTGTGTTGGTCTTCCAGATGACCAGACTGACACCTGGATAGGCATCACCAACAGGTGGCCCTTGGACAAACACTCCTGGTCAGATGGCACTCCTACCACCTTCACCAGCTGGCCAGACACCAGCACCAGCTGGCCAGACACCAGCACCAGCTGGCCAGACGACAGGAAGGAGAGGAGAGAGAACGATAGAAGGAGTGTTAGAGGCGGCAACACGGAGCAACAACTCTCCATTACTGACGGTAAATACAGATGATTTCTTTTTAAAAGTTTTAGTTGTAAAAATAGATTTAAAGAAATAAGCTTAATTTAATACAAATTTGTCTTGTTTAGATTAAATGAAAAATTAAAATCTAGCGAGTTGAGACGTAATAATAATTAATAATTTTGCTAAAAGTACATGTACAAGGTGTACAGTACATGTACAAGGTGTACATGTACAAGGTGTACATGTACAAGGTGTACATGTACAAGGTGTACATGTACAAGGTGTACATGTACAAGGTGTACAAGGCGTACAGTACATGTACAAGGTGTACAGTACATGTACAAGGTGTACATGTACAAGGTGTACAGTACATGTACAAGGTGTACATGTACAAGGTGTACAGTACATGTACAAGGTATACAACTACATGTACAAGGTGTACATGTACAAGGTGTACATGTACAAAGTGTACAGTACATGTACAAGGTATACAGTACACGTACAAGGTATACAAGTACATGTACAAGGTGTACATGTACAAGGTGTACATGTACAAAGTGTACAGTACATGTACAAGGTGTACAGTACATGTACAAGGTATACAAGAACATGTACAAGGTATAGAGTACATGTACAAGGTGTACATGTACAAAGTGTACAGTACATGTACAAGGGGTACAGTACATGTACAAGGTATACAGTACATGTACAAGGTATAGAGTACATGTACAAGGTGTACATGTACAAGGTGCACAGTACATGCACAAGGTGTACAGTACATGTACAAGGTGTACAGTACATGTACAAGGTGTACAGTACATGTACAAGGTGTACATGTACAAGGTGTACAGTACATGTACAAGGTGTACAGTACATGTACAAGGTGTACATGTACAAGGTGTACAGTACATGTACAAGGTGTACATGTACAAGGTGTACATGTACAAGGTGTACATGTACAAGGCGTACAGTACATGTACAAGGTGTACAGTACATGTGCAAGGTATGCAAGTACATGCACAAGGTATACAACTACATGTACAAGGTGTACATGTACAAGGTGTACAGTACACGTACAAGGTATACAAGTACATGTACAAGGTATACAGTACATGTACAAGGTATAGAGTACATGTACAAGGTGTACATGTGCAAGGTGTACATGTGCAAGGTGTACATGTGCAAGGTGTACATGTGCAAGGTGTACATGTGCAAGGTGTACATGTACAAGGTGTACATGTACAAGGTGCACATGTACAAGGTGTACATGTACAAGGTGCACATGTACAAGGTGCACATGTACAAGGTGTACATGTACAAGGTGCACATGTACAAGGTGTACATGTACAAGGTGCACATGTACAAGGTGTACATGTACAAGGTGCACAGTACATGTACAAGGTATAGAGTACATGTACAAGGTGTACATGTACAAGGAGTACATGCACAAGGTGTACAGTACATGTACAAGGTGTACATGCACAAGGTGTACAGTACATGTACAAGGTGTACAGTACATGTACAAGGTACAGAGTATATGTACAAGGTGTACATGTACAAGGAGTACATGCACAAGGTGTACAAGTACATGTACAAGGTGTACAGTACATGTACAAGGTGCATGTACAAGGTGTATAGTACATGTACAAGGTGTACATGTACAGGGTGTACAAGTACATGTACAAGGTATACAAGTACATGTACAAGGTATACAAGTACATGTACAAGGTATACAAGTACATGTACAAGGTATACAAGTACATGTACAAGGTATACAGACCATAGCTGACATCAGTGACATACTACTATATAGAAAGTCCCTTGTTATGCTGAGCATTTCCGCAAATTGGTCAGTTTTGTCCCAGGATGTGCCCACACAGTCCACTAACACCCAGGATGTGACCCACACAGTCACTAACGCCCAGGTTGTGACCCACACCAGTCCCTAACACGAGGATGTGACCCACACCAGTCCACTAACACCAGGATGTGACCCACACCAGTCCACTAACACCCAGGATGTGACCACACCAGTCACTAACCCCAGCGTGACCCATACAGTCCACTAACACCCAGGATGTGCCCCACCAGTCCACTAACACCCAGGATGTGACCCACACCAGTCCACTAACACCAGGATGCCCCACACCAGTCCATTAACACTCAGGATGTGACCAACACCAGTCCACTAACACCCGATGTGACCCACACCAGTCCACTAACACCCAGGATGCCACCCACACCAGTCCACTAACACCCAGGATGTGACCCACACCAGTCCAGTAACACCCAGGATGTGACCCACACCAGTCCACTAACACAGGATGTGACCCACACCAGTCCACTAACACCCAGGATGCGACCCACACCAGTTCACTAACACCCAGGATGTGACCCACACCAGTTCACTAACACCCAGGATGTGACCCATTCCAGTCCACTAACACCCAGGATGCGACCCACACCAGTCCACTAACACCCAGGATGCGACCCACACCAGTCCACTAACACCCAGGATGTGACCCACACCACTCCGCTAACACCCAGGATGCCACGGATACCAGTCCACTAACTCCCAGGATGCCACCCACACCACTCCACTAACACCCAGGATGCCACCTACACCAGTCCACTAACACCCAGGAAGTGACCCACACCAGTCCGCTAACACCCAGGATGCGACCCACACCAGTCCACTAACACCCAGGATGTGACCCACACCAGTCCACTAACACCCAGGATGTGACCCACACCAGTCCGCTAACACCCAGGATGTGACCCCACAACTATCCACTAACCCCCAAAGGATGTGACCCACACCAGCCCCACTAACACCAGGATGTGACCCAAAACAGTCCACTAACACCCAGGATGTGACCCACACCAGTCCACTAACACCCAGGATGTGACCCACACCGGCCCACTAACACACAGGATGCCAACCCCACCAGTCCACTAACGCCCAGGATGTGACCCACACCAGTCCACTAACACCCAGGATGCCACTCACACCAGTCCACTAACCCCCAGGGTGCCACTCACACCAGTCCACTAACACCCAGGATGTGACCCACACTAGTCCACTAACACCCAGGATGTGACCCACACTAGTCCACTAACACCCAGGAGTGCCCATACCAGTCCACTAACACCCAGGATGTAACCCACACCAGTCCACTAACACCCGGGATGTGACCCTCACCAGTCCACTAACACCCAGGATATGACCCATACCGGTCCACTAACATCCAGGATGTGCCCCCACACCAGTCCACTAACACCCAGTTTTGACCCATATCAGTCCACAAACACCCAGGAAGTGACCCATACCATCCACTAACACCCAGGATGTGACCCAAATCCAGTCCACAAACACCCAGGATGTGACCCACACCAGTCCACTAAACAACCAGGATGTGACCCACACCAGTCCACTAAAAAACCCAGGATGCCCACCCCAAATCCACTAAACACTCGGATGTGCCCCAAAACAGGTCCCTAAACACTCAGGATGTGACCCACACCAGTCCACTAACCCCCAAAGATTGACCCACACCAGTCCACTAACACTCAGGATGTGACCCACACCAGTCCACTAACACTCAGGATTGACCCACACCAGTCCACTAACACTCAGGATGTACCCACACCAGTCCACTAACACCCAGGATGCCACCCACACCAGTCCACTAACACCCAGGATGCCACCCACACCAGTCCACTAACACCCAGGATGCCACCCACACCAGTCCACAAACACCAGGATGCCACCCACCACCAGTCCACTAACACCCAGGATGCCACTCACATTAGTCCACTAACACCCAGGATGCCACCCACACCACACCCACACCACCCATGTACATCTGTACTTTCCACCTCCCACGTACATCTGTACTTTCCACCTCCCACGTACATCTGTACTTTCCACCTCCCACGTACTTCTGTACTTTCCACCTCCCACGTACATGTGGACTTTCCACCTCCCACGAGCATCTGTACTTTCCACCTCCCACGTGCATCTGTACTTTCCACCTCCCACGTGCATCTGTACTTTCCACCTTCCACGTGCATCTGTACTTTCCACCTTCCACGTACATCTGTACTTTCCACCTCCCACGTACATCTGTACTTTCCACCTCCACTTTACATCTGTATTTTCCCACCTCCCACGTATTGTACTTTCCACCTCCCACGTACATCTGTACTTTCCAGCTCCCACGCACATCTGTACTTTCCACCTCCCACGTACATCTGTACTTTCCAAATCCAACGTATATCTGTACTTTCCACCTCCAACGTACATCTGTACTTTCCACCTCCCACGTACATCTGTACTTTCCACCTCCCACGTACATCTGTACTTTCCACCTCCCACGTACATCTGTACTTTCCACCTCCCACGTACATCTGTACTTTCCACCTCCCACGTACATCTGTTCTTTCCACATCTGGAGTTTACCTGGAGAGTGTTCCGGGGGTCAACTCCCCCGCGGCCCGGTCTGTAACCAGGCCTCCTGGTGGATCAGAGCCTGATCAACCAGGCTGTTGCTGCTGGCTGCACGCAAACCAACGTACGAGCCACAGCCCGGCTGGTCAGGAACCGACTTTAGGTGCTTGTCCAGTGCCAGCTTGAAGACTGCCAGGGGTCTGTTGGTAATCCCCCTTATGTATGCTGGGAGGCAGTTGAACAGTCTCGGGCCCCCGACACTTATTGTATTGTTTTCTTAACGTCTAGTGACACCCCTGCTTTTCTTTGGGGGATGGTGCATCGTCTGCCAAGTCTTTGCTTTCGTAGTGAGTGATTTTCGTGTGCAAGTTCGGTACTAGTCCCTCTAGGATTTTCCCGGTGTATATAATCATGTATCTCTCCCTCCCGAGTCCAGGAATTCAGGTTTAGACCTCAAGCGCTCCCAGTAATTGAGGTGTTTTTATCTCCGTTATGCGCGCCGTGAAAGTTCTCTGTACATTTTCTAAAGGGCGGCAATTTCACCTCCTTGAAAGGTGCTGTTAGAGTGCAGCAATATTCCACCTAGATAGAACAAGTGACCTGAAGAGTGTCATCATGGGCTTGGCATCCCTAGTTTTGAAGGTTCTCATTATTTCCCTCCTTCATTTTTTTAGCAGATGCGATTGATACAATGTTATGGTCCTTGAAGGTGAGATCCTCCGACATAATCACTTCCCAGGTCTTTGACGTTGGGTTTTTCGCTCTAATTTGTGGCCAGAATTTGTTTTGTACTCTGATGAAGATTTAATTTCCTTTGTGTTTTACCATATCTGAGTAATTGAAATTTCTCATCGTTGAACTTCATATTGTTTTCTGCAGCCCACTGAAAGATTTGGGGTTTATGTCTGCCTGGAGCCTTGCAGTGTCTGCAATGTCTGCCTGGAGCCTTGCAGTGTCGCCAATGTCTGCCTGGAGCCTTGCAGTGTCTGCAATTTTGCTGGACCTTGCAGTGTCTGCTGGAGCCTTGCAGTGTCTGCAATGTCTACCTGGAGCCTTGCAGTGTCTGCAATGTCTCCTGGAGCCCTTTCAGTGTCTGCAATGTCTGCCTGGAGTCTTGCAGTGTCTGCAAGGGCTACCTGGAGCTTGCAGTGTCTGCAGTGTCTGCAATGCTGCCTGGAGCCTTGCAGTGTCTGCAATGTCTGCCTGGAGTCTTGCAGTGGTTTTGCAATGTCTGCCTGGAGTTCTTGCAGTGTCTGCAATGTCTGCCTGGGGGTCTTGCAATGTCGCCTGAGCCCTTTCAGTGCTGCATTCTCCTGGAGCCTTGCAGTGTCTGCAATGTCTGCCTGGAGCCTTGCAGTGTCGCAATGTCTGCCTGGAGTCCCTTTCAGTGTCTGCAATGTCTGCCTGGAGTCTTGCAGTGTCTGCAATGTCTGCCTGGAGCCTTGCAGTGTCTGCAATGTCGGCCTGAGCCTTGCAGTGTCGCAATGTCGCCTGGAGCCTTGGAGTGTGTGCAATGTCGCCCGGAGCCTTGCAGTGTCTGAATTCTGCCTGGAGTTGCAGTGTCTGAATGTCTGCCGGAGCTTGGGGTGTCTTCCAATGTCTGCCTGGAGCCTTGCATGTGTCCCCCAATGTCTGCCTGGAGCCCTTTCAGTGTCTTCTGTCTGCCCGGAGCCTTGCATGTCTCGTGTCTCCTGGGCCTTTTCAGTTTCTGCAATGTCTCCTGGAGCCTGCGTGTCTTCATGTCTCCCGGAGCCTTGCAGTGTCTTCAATGCTGCCTGGAGCTTGCAGGTCCTGCGATGTCTGCCTGGAAGCCTTGCAGTTTCTGCATTTTGCCTGAGCCTGCTGTCTGCGATTCTGCCTGGAGCCTGCATTTCTGGCAATGTCTGCCTGGAGCCTTTCAGTGTCTGCAATGGAAGACACTGTCATGCAGATCCGGGTGTCATCTGAAAGGAAGACACGTGTGGGTGACATCCTTGTCTATGTGGATATGAGGATGAGGAACAAAATGGGAGCGAGTACTGTGCCTTTGGATTTAGAGCTTTTCACCGTAGCTTGCCTCGGACTTTACTTGTTGACGACTACTCTCTGTGTTCTGTTAGTGAGGGAAAATTATGATCCATCGACCCGACTTTTCCTGTTATTCCTTGCACGCTTTTGTGCCTATTAGCCATGGTCACACTTGTCCGAAGGCTTTTGCAAAGTCTGTAAATTACATGCTTCTTTTGTCTTCTAGTGCAAACTAGGACTTGTCGTAGGGTCCCCTAGTTGGACAGACGGGCGACCTGTTCTAAACCCATGTTGCCCTGGTTGTGTAACCCGATGGTTTCTAGATGGTGGGGATCTTGCTTCTTAGGACCCTTTCAAGATTTTTTTATTGATGTTAGTGCTATTCACTTAGTTCTTTGCTGTTGCTTTACTGCCCCCTTCACGTACATCTGTACTTTCCACCTCCCACGTACATCTGTACTTTCCACCTCCCACGTACATCTGTACTTTCCACCTCCCACGTACATCTGTACTTTCCACCTCCCACGTACATCTGTACTTTCCACCTCCCACGCACACCTGTACTTTCCACCTCCCACGTACATCTGTACTTTCCACCTCCCACGTACATCTGTACTTTCCACCTCCCACGTACATCTGTACTTTCCACCTCCCACATACATCTGTATTTTCCACCTCCCACGTACATCTGTACTTTCCACCTGCCACAGTGTCGCCGGTCACACCAGCTGTGGACTATCCACCTGCCCACAGTGTCGCCGCGTCACACCAGCTGTGGACACATCTCCAGTGATACACCTGCCACACACTGGAACCTGGACACCTGTCACACCAACAAACATTACATCTGTAAGAAGGTTCAACAGTCAGCACAAAGCAACACTTCCCAAGACACCTGTGTACAGGTGAGGCAGCTGTGTACAGGTGAGGCAGCTGTGTACAGGTGAGGCAGCTGTGTACAGGTGAGGCAGCTGTGTACAGGTGAGGCAGCTGTGTACAGGTGAGGCAGCTGCGTACAGGTGAGGCAGCTGCGTACAGGTGAGGCAGCTGCGTACAGGTGAGGCAGCTGTGTGCAGGTGAGGTAGCTGTGTGCAGGTGAGGCAGCTGTGTACAGGTGAGGCAGCTGTGTGCAGGTGAGGCAGCTGTGTACAGGTGAGGCAGCTGTGTGCAGGTGAGGCAGCTGTGTACAGGTGAGGCAGCTGTGTACAGGTGAGGTAGCTGTGTACAGGTGAGGCAGCTGTGTGCAGGTGAGGCAGCTGTGTACAGGTGAGGCAGCTGCGTACAGGTGAGGCAGCTGTGTACAGGTGAGGTAGCTGTGTACAGGTGAGGCAGCTGTGTGCAGGTGAGGCAGCTGTGTGCAGGTGAGGCAGCTGTGTACAGGTGAGGCAGCTGTGTGCAGGTGAGGTAGCTTTGTGCAGGAGAAACAGCAGTGAACAGGTGAGGCAGCTGTGTACAGGTGAGGCAGCTGTGTACAGGTGAGGCAGCTGTGTACAGGTGAGGTAGCTTTGTGCAGGAGAAACAGCAGTGAACAGGTGAGGCAGCTGTGTACAGGTGAGGTAGCTGTGTACAGGAGAGACAGTTGTGTGCAGGTGAGGCAGCTGTGTGCAGGTGAGGCAGCTGTGTACAGGTGAGGCAGCTGTGTACAGGTGAGGTAGCTTTGTGCAGGAGAAGCAGCTGTGTACAGGTGAGGTAGCTTTGTGCAGGAGAAACAGCAGTGAACAGGTGAGGCAGCTGTGTACAGGTGAGGTAGCTGTGTACAGGAGAGACAGTTGTGTGCAGGTGAGGCAGCTGTGTGCAGGTGAGGCAGCTGTGTACAGATGAGGCAGCTGTGTACAGGTGAGGCAGCTGTGTACAGGTGAGGTAGCTTTGTGCAGGAGAAGCAGCTGTGTACAGGTGAGGCAGCTGTGTACAGGAGAGACAGTTGTGTGCAGGAGAGGCAGCTGTGTGCAGGTGAGGCAGCTGTGTACAGGTGAGGCAGCTGTGTGCAAGAGAGGCAGCTGTGTACAGGTGAGGCAGCTGTGTACAGGTGAGGTAGCTTTGTGCAGGAGAAGCAGCTGTGTATAGGTGAGGCAGCTGTGTGCAGGAGAGGCAGCTGTGTACAGGAGAGAGAGTTGTGTACAGGTGAGGCAGCTGTGTACAGGTGAGGCAGATGTGTGCAGGAGAGGCAGCTGTGTGCAGGAGAGGCAGCTGTGTACAGGTGAGGCAGATGTGTGCAGGTGAGGCAACTGTGTGCAGGAGAGGCAGCTGTGTACAGGAGAGATAGTTGTGTAGAGGTGAGGCAGCTGTGTACAGGTGAGGCAGCTGTGTACAGGTGATGCAGCTGTGTACAGGTGAGGTAGCTTTGTGCAGGAGAAGCAGCTGTGTACAGGTGAGGCAGCTGTGTGCAGGTGAGGCAGCTGTGTGCAGGAGAGGCAACTGTGTGCAGGAGAGGCAGCTGTGTACAGGAGAGACAGCTGTGTACAGGGGAGGCAGATGTATGCAGGTGAGGCAGCTGTGTGCAGGAGAGGCAGCTGTGTACAGGGGAGGCAGCTGTGTACAGGGGAGGCAGCTGTGTACAGGTGAGGCAGCTGTGTACAGGGGAGGTAGTTGTGTGCAGGAGAGGCAGCTGTGTACAGGTGAGGCAGCTGTGTACAGGTGAGGCAGCTGTGTACAAGTGAGGCAGCTGTGTGCAGGTGAGGCAGCTGTGTACAGGTGAAGTAGCTTTGTGCAGGAGAAGCAGCTGTATACAGGTGAGGCAGCTGTGTACAGGTGAAGTAGCTTTGTGCAGGAGAAGCAGCTGTGTACAGGTGAGGCAGCTGTGTACAGGTGAGGCAGCTGTGTACAGGCGAGGCAGCTGTGTGCAGGTGAGGCGGCTGTGTGCAGGCGAGGCAGCTGTGTGCAGGCGAGGCAGCTGTGTGCAGGCGAGGCAGCTGTGTACAGGTGAGGCAGCTGTGTACAGGTGAGGCAGCTGTGTACAGGTGAGGCAGCTGTGTACAGGTGAGGCAGCTGTGTACAGGTGAGGTAGCTGTGTGCAGGTGAGGCAGCTGTGTACAGATGAGGCAGCTGTGTACAGATGAGGCAGCTGTGTACAGGTGAGGTAGCTGTGTACAGATGAAGCAGCTGTGTACAGGTGAGGCAGCTGTGTGCAGGAGAGGCAGCTGTGTACAGGTGAGGCAGCTGTGTGCAGGTGAGGCAGCTGTGTACAGATGAGGCAGCTGTGTACAGGTGAGGTAGCTTTGTACAGGTGAGGCAGCTGTGTACAGATGAAGCAGCTATATACAGGTGAGACAGCTGTGTGCAGGAGAGGCAGCTGTGTACAGGTGAGGCAGCTGTGTACAGGTGAGGCAGCTGTGTACAGGTGAGGCAGCTGTGTGCAGGAGAGGCAGCTGTGTACAGGGGAGGCAGCTGTGTACAGGTGAGGCAGCTGTGTACAGGTGAGGCAGCTGTGTGCAGTTGAGGCAGCTGTGTACAGGTGAGGTAGCTTTGTGCAGGAGAAGCAGCTGTGTACAGGTGAGGCAGCTGTGTGCAGGTGAGGCAGCTGTGTACAGGTGAGGTAGCTTTGTGCAGGTGAGGCAGCTGTGTACAGGTGAGGCAGCTGTGTACAGGTGAGGCAGCTGTGTACAGGTGAGGCAGCTGTGTACAGGTGAGGTAGCTTTGTGCAGGAGAAGCAGCTGTGTACAGGTGAGGCAGCTGTGTACAGGTGAGGCAGCTGTGTACAGGTGAGGTAGCTTTGTGCAGGAGAAGCAGCTGTGTGCAGGTGAGGCAGCTGTGTGCAGGTGAGGCAGCTGTGTACAGGTGAGGTAGCTTTGTGCAGGAGAAGCAGCTGTGTACAGGTTAGGCAGCTGTGTACAGGTGAGGCAGCTGTGTACAGGTGAGGTAGCTTTGTGCAGGAGAAGCAGCTGTGTACAGGTGAGGCAGCTGTGTACAGTTGAGGCAGTTGTTTGCAGGTGAGGCAGCTGTGTACAGGTGAGGAAGCTGTGTACAGGTGAGGCAGCTGTGTACAGGTGAGGCAGCTGTGTGCAGGTGAGGCAGCTATGTACAGGTGAGGTAGCTTTGTGCAGAAGCAGCTGTGTACAGGTGAGGCAGCTGTGTACAGGTGAGGCAGCTGTGTGCAGGAGAGGCAGCTGTGTACAGGTGAGGCAGCTGTGTACAGGTGAGGTAGCTGTGTGCAGGAGAGGCAGTTGTTTGCAGGTGAGGCAGCTGTGTACAGGTGAGGCAGCTGTGTACAGGTGAGGCAGATGTGTGCAGGTGAGGCAGCTGTGTGCAGGAGAGGCAGCTGTGTACAGGTGAGGCAGCTGTGTGCAGGTGAGGCAGCTGTGCGCAGGAGAGGCAGCTGTGTACAGGTGTGGCAGATGTGTGCAGGTGAGGCAGCTGTGTGCAGGAGAGGCAGCTGTGTACAGGTGAGGCAGCTGTGTACAGGTGAGGCAGCTGTGTACAGGTGAGGCAGCTGTGTGCAGGAGAGGCAGTTGTTTGCAGGTGAGGCAGCTGTGTACAGGTGAGGCAGCTGTGTACAGGTATCACAAACACCAGTGTTGGTGTATCTCACACATACCAGTGTTGGTGTATCTCACACACACCAGTGTTGGTGTATCTCACACATACCAGTGTTGGTGTATCTCACACACCAGTGTTGGTGTATCACACACACCAGTGTTGGTGTATCACACACACCAGTGTTGGTGTATCTCACATACACCAGTGTTGGTGTATCACACACACACCAGTGTTGGTGTATCTCACACACACCAGTGTTGGTGTATCACAACACACCAGTGTTGGTGTATCACACACACACCAGTGTTGGTGTATCACACACACACCAGTGTTGGTGTATCTCACATACACCAGTGTTGGTGTATCTCACATACACCAATGTTGGTGTATCTCACATACACCAGTGTTGGTGTATCACACACACACCAGTGTTGGTGTATCACACACACACCAGTGTTGGTGTATCACACACACACCAGTGTTGGTGTATCTCACATACACCAGTGTTGGTGCATCACACACACACCAGTGTTGGTGCATCCCCACACACACCAGTGTTGGTGCATCACACACACACCAGTGTTGGTGCATCACACACACACCAGTGTTGGTGCATCACACACACACCAGTGTTGGTGTATCACACACACACCAGTGTTGGTGTATCACACACACACCAGTGTTGGTGTATCACACACACACCAGTGTTGGTGTATCACACACACACCAGTGTTGGTGTATCACACATACACCAGTGTTGGTGTATCACACACACACCATGTTGGTGTATCTCACACACACACCAGTGTTGGTGTATCACACACACCAGTGTTGGTGTATCACACACACCAGTGTTGGTGTATCTCACATACACCAGTGTTGGTGTATCTCACATACACCAGTGTTGGTGTATCACACACACACCAGTGTTGGTGTATCACACACACACACACCAGTGTTGGTGTATCACACACACACACACCAGTGTTGGTGTATCACACACACACACACCAGTGTTGGTGTATCACACACACCACACACCAGTGTTGGTGTATCACACACACACACCAGTGTTGGTGTATCACACACACACCAGTGTTGGTGTATCACACACACACACACACCAGTGTTGGTGTATCTCACACACACCAGTGTTGGTGTATCACACACACACCAGTGTTGGTGTATCACACAAACACCAGTGTTGGTGTATCTCACATACACCAGTGTTGGTGTATCACACACACCAGTGTTGGTGTATCACACACACACCAGTGTTGGTGTATCACACACACACACCAGTGTTGGTGTATCTCACACACACCAGTGTTGGTGTATCACGCACACACACCAGTGTTGGTGTATCTCACATACACCAGTGTTGGTGTATCACACACACCAGTGTTGGTGTATCTCACACACACCAGTGTTGGTGTATCACACACACACCAGTGTTGGTGTATCACACAAACACCAGTGTTGGTGTATCTCACATTCACCAGTGTTGGTGTATCACACACACCAGTGTTGGTGTATCACACACACCAGTGTTGGTGTATCACACACACCAGTGTTGGTGTATCACACACACCAGTGTTGGTGTATCTCACATACACCAGTGTTGGTGTATCACACACACCAGTGTTGGTGTATCTCACATACACCAGTGTTGGTGTATCTCACATACACCAGTGTTGGTGTATCACACACACCAGTGTTGGTGTATCACACACACACCAGTGTTGGTGTATCACACACACACACCAGTGTTGGTGTATCTCACATACACCAGTGTTGGTGTATCACACACACACACCAGTGTTGGTGTATCTCACACCAGTGTTGGTGTATCACACAAACACCAGTGTTGGTGTATCTCACATACACCAGTGTTGGTGTATCACACACACCAGTGTTGGTGTATCACACACACACCAGTGTTGGTGTATCACACACTCACACCAGTGTTGGTGTATCTCACATACACCAGTGTTGGTGTATCACACACACACACCAGTGTTGGTGTATCTCCCATACACCAGTGTTGGTGTATCACACACACCAGTGTTGGTGTATCACACACACACCAGTGTTGGTGTATCTCACATACACCAGTGTTGGTGTATCTCACATACACCAGTGTTGGTGTATCTCACATACACCAGTGTTGGTGCATCACACACACACCAGTGTTGGTGCATCACACACACACCAGTGTGGTGTATCACACACACACACACCAGTGTTGGTGTATCACACACACCAGTGTTGGTGTATCACACACACCAGTGTTGGTGTATCACACACACCAGTGTTGGTGTATCACACACACCAGTGTTGGTGTATCACACACACCAGTGTTGGTGTATCACACACACCAGTGTTGGTGTATCACACACACCAGTGTTGGTGTATCACACACACCAGTGTTGGTGCATCACACACACCAGTGTTGGTGCATCACACACACCAGTGTTGGTGCATCACACACACCAGTGTTGGTGCATCACACACACCAGTGTTGGTGCATCACACACACCAGTGTTGGTGCATCACACACACCAGTGTTGGTGCATCACACACACCAGTGTTGGTGCATCACACACACCAGTTTTTGGTGCATCACACACACCAGTGTTGGTGCATCACACACACCAGTGTTGGTGCATCACACACACCAGTGTTGGTGCATCACACACACCAGTGTTGGTGCATCACACACACCAGTGTTGGTGCATCACACACACCAGTGTTGGTGCATCACACACACCAGTGTTGGTGCATCACACACACCAGTGTTGGTGCATCACACACACCAGTGTTGGTGCATCACACACACCAGTGTTGGTGCATCACACACACCAGTGTTGGTGCATCACACACACCAGTGTTGGTGCATCACACACACCAGTGTTGGTGCATCACACACACACCAGTGTTGGTGCATCACACACACCAGTGTTGGTGCATCACACACACCAGTGTTGGTGCATCACACACAACCAGTGTTGGTGCATCACACACACCAGTGTTGGTGTATCACACACACCAGTGTTGGTGCATCACACACACCAGTGTTGGTGTATCACACACACCAGTGTTGGTGTATCACACACACCAGTGTTGGTGTATCACACACACACACACACACCAGTGTTGGTGTATCACACACACACACACACCAGTGTTGGTGTATCACACACACACACACCAGTGTTGGTGTATCACACACACACACACACACCAGTGTTGGTGTATCACACACACCAGTGTTGGTGTATCACACACGCCAGTGTGTGTGTATCACACACGCCAGTGTTGGTGTATCACACACGCCAGTGTTGGTGTATCACACACACCAGTGTTGGTGTATCACACACACCAGTGTTGGTGTATCACACACACACACACACCAGTGTTGGTGTATCACACACACACACACACCAGTGTTGGTGTATCACACACACACACACACCAGTGTTGGTGTATCACACACACACACACACCAGTGTTGGTGTATCACACACACACACCAGTGTTGGTGTATCACACACACCAGTGTTGGTGTATCACACACGCCAGTGTTGGTGTATCACACACGCCAGTGTTGGTGTATCACACACGCCAGTGTTGGTGTATCACACACGCCAGTGTTGGTGTATCACACACCAGTGTTGGTGTATCACACACACCAGTGTCGGTGTATCACACACCAGTACTCCAAAGTTTGGACTGATAAACATTAGTTTTAACATATTCTGTATTACAGTTTAGTTCAGCTCTGTAATCAAACATATTGTGTAATGTGAGTTAATATTGTTTTACAGTGTTTGTCGCGTAATAAGAGGTTCAGTGTCCAGAGACCAATGTTTGTCTACAAACCTGGCGAGTCTCATGACGCAGGACGTCCTGTCTTCTCATCACTTTTCCATTCTCGTTTTGGTCCACACTTCACAGACGTAGGAAGCGCACGGAAGCATTTGGAAGGCGTCTTATTGCGTTCAAGGATCACACCGTGGCATCCTGACCTGGCAGCTCCACAGCCTCCACGTTTCACGATGTATCACAGATTTCACGATGGTGAACAAGTACAGCTGGGTGATCCCTCTGCTGTAGTTCCCTCTAAAAAAGTTCTCAAGAGTATATTACAGGCCCACTTAATGCCATCTTCTGGTTCTTCGAGCCAGAGAACACCTGCCACAACCTTGACGGTAGACAGCGTCGCCCATGGAGGACCGTCACTGACTACGACACAGTCCCTCACTGATAATGGAAACGAAAGTGTCATTGCCTCACTGACAAGTGCTTCAAGTGCTAGTGAAGCAAGTGTCAGTGTCAATGGGGAAACATCTGAGCTCAACACCTGCCAGACGGTAAGTCTCCACAATGTCGTGTTTTTGTTCATGCCTTCCGATTGCTTTTGTCTTTTGGTAAGTATAATCCAAGATGGAAGCCTTGATACTGGTGTGGAACTCTTGATTCGCAGAACTTGAGCTACCCTCCTTGTGGGATATATCTACATTTAGTGGCCACTTTGTTAGGCACACATGTACAGTGGCATGCAGAGATCTGGTGATACCCGGGGCCAACTCCTTGTTTGTATGCCCCAAATCACTATCATATTTCCCTCTCTAATTGGATGCCCCTCCCACATTTGGATGTCCGGGGCCACCGCCCCTTCGGCCCCTCCTCTGCACGCCAGTGCACATGTACACTTACACTTTGGTGCAAATATCAAGTCAGCCAATCACGTGGCAACACCTCGATGCCAAAAAGCATGCAGACCAAACATAAGAATGGGGAAGAAATGTGATCTTAGTGACTATGACTGTGGGACGGTTCTTGGTGCCAGACAGACGAGCTGGTTTGAGTATCTCAGAAATTGCTGATCTCCTGGGATTTTCATACACAACAGTCTCTTAGAGTTTATAGGGAATGGTGTAAAATAACCATCAACGGTTCTGTAGGCGGAAACACCCTGATAATGAGAAGAGGTCAAGGGAGAACAACCAGGCTGGTTCAAGCTGACAGGAAGGTGACAGTATCTCAACAATCACACGTCACAACAGTAGTATACAGAAGAACATCTCTGAACGCACAAAAAGTCAGACCACACCGGGTTTCACTCCTGTCAGCTAAGAACAGGAAACTGAGGCTACAGTGAGTAAAGCCTCACCACAACTGAACAGTTGAAGATTGTAGAAACATCGCCTGGTCTGACAAACGTCGATTACTGCTGCGGCATGCAGATGGTAGGGTCAGAATTTGGCGTAAACCTTTGTGATGTGGTGGAACGGGAGATTAACAGATCTGCAGCATCTGTCTGATGCTATCATATCAATGTAGACCAGAATCTCTCTATGCGTACCTTTTTCAATCCATGTCACGAAAAATTCAGGCGGTCCTGGGACCCTACCCAGTACTAGAAGAATGTACCTGATAAATGGTCACAGAACACACGTGAATTACTTGACACACGACATCGTTATTGCTTATCTTTTCAATGATTATTCCCGTATCTTACACTCCCTCTGTCCGCACTACCAAGGTGGCTGTTACAATTGGTAGCTGTTACGATTATTTTTCCTATCTGCAAAAGATTCAAAACTGTAATGTGTATTTTAATTCATGTATGTTATAATTATAAGAAACAGTAGAGGTTCCAGAGCAGCGCCTTGCGGTACTCAGGTTTTTGCTTTGCTAATAGTGAATTATATTCTGTCTCATGCTACTCTTTGGGTCCTTTGTCTCAGAAAGTTATATATCATTTTGTGTATCATCCTCATTAAACCTGTGGCCTCATATTGCAGTCTTATGGTCGCATTTCTTAAATGACTTTAACGAAAGTGACTCCGGACAATGCACAACCTGCAGGTACAAGATTGAACATTAAAATGGTATAAAATACCGACAGGTTGTTAGGTAAGACACATATGCAACAGTTAGGTATCTTTATTATGAAAAAGATACCTAACTGTTGCATATGTGTCTTACCTAACAGGTACAAGATTGAAACTTAAAAGGACGTTTGGGTCCGACCATCACCTAGTGACTAGTTAATGATCCAAACAGACCGAAACATCGTCAGTTTTATTCTCCTATGTCCGGGTTATTTGGGTATAGTTCCAGTCACTGTATTGGGACTTTTTCTTATTTTCCTATGAGAGCGGCCAGCAGTAACAGCCTGATTGATCAGACCCTGATCCACCACGAAGCCTGGTCTCAGACCGAGCGTTGGCCCGGAAACCGTCTCCAGGTCTGGACCATCTTAGGTTTACGGGCTGTCGTAGTGATGGCAGTTATAACACTCAACTTCCTGATCTAAATGCAAGTAAATTTCTCTCGCGGGTTCACTTGTTTCCCAGAATGTTGTAATGTGGTGTTTCGTGCAGGCAGGAACAGTGTCTTGCAGTGCAGGCAGGAACAGTGTCTTGCAGTGCAGGCAGGAACAGTGTCTTGCAGTGCAGGCAGGAACAGTGTCTTGCGGTGCAGGCAGGAACAGTGTCTTGCAGTGCAGGCAGGAACAGTGTCTTGCAGTGCAGGCAGGAACAGTGTCTTGCAGTGCAGGCAGGAACAGTGTCTTGCGGTGCAGGCAGGAACAGTGTCTTGCGGTGCAGGCAGGAACAGTGTCTTGCAGTGCAGGCAGGAACAGTGTCTTGCAGTGCAGGCAGGAACAGTGTCTTGCAGTGCAGGCAGGAACAGTGTCTTGCAGTGCAGGCAGGAACAGTGTCTTGCAGTGCAGGCAGGAACAGTGTCTTGCGGTGCAGGCAGGAACAGTGTCTTGCGGTGCAGGCAGGAACAGTGTCTTGCGGTGCAGGCAGGAACAGTGTCTTGCGGTGCAGGCAGGAACAGTGTCTTGCGGTGCAGGCAGGAACAGTGTCTTGCGGTGCAGGCAGGAACAGTGTCTTGCGGTGCAGGCAGGAACAGTGTCTTGCGGTGCAGGCAGGAACAGTGTCTTGCGGTGCAGGCAGGAACAGTGTCTTGCGGTGCAGGCAGGAACAGTGTCTTGCGGTGCAGGCAGGAACAGTGTCTTGCGGTGCAGGCAGGAACAGTGTCTTGCAGAGCAGGCAGGAACAGTGTCTTGCAGAGCAGGCAGGAACAGTGTCTTGCAGAGCAGGCAGGAACAGTGTCTTGCAGAGCAGGCAGGAACAGTGTCTTGCAGTGCAGGCAGGAACAGTGTCTTGCAGTGCAGGCAGGAACAGTGTCTTGCGGTGCAGGCAGGAACAGTGTCTTGCAGTGCAGGCAGGAACAGTGTCTTGCACTGCAGGCAGGAACAGTGCCTTGCAGTGCAGGCAGGAACAGTGCCTTACGGTGCAGGCAGGAACAGTGTCTTACCTGGAGTTTACCTGGAGAGAGTTCCGGGGGTCAACGCCCCCGCGGCCCGGTCTGTGACCAGGCCTCCTTAGGTCAGTGTCCCAGGATGCGACCCACACCAGTCGACTAACACCCAGGTACCCATTTTACTGATGGGGAACATAGACAACAGGTGGAAAGAAACACGTCCAATGTTTCTACTCTGGCTGGGAATCGAACCCGGGCCCTCACCGTGTGAAGCGAGAGCGTTAACCACCAGGCCACCAGAGCCTGTGATGTGAAGTGAGACGAAATGAATTGACCCTAGAGAACAGAAGGAGCAAAATACTCGAATGAATTGATAGATCAGACAGGGACAAGCTGATGGAGAGGCAGGAAATAGGTACACGGTTGCACATCTGGATGTAAGACGCAGATGAGTCAGAGGGATGTCGGGAAGTATTTCTTCAGCCTCAGGGCGGTCGGGAAGTGCAATGACCTTAACTAGGAAATGGTGGAGACAGACTCTATACATAGCTTTAAGAACATATACGACTGGGCTAAGTAAACTAGGAGAGAGTGAACCTGGCAAATTGAGAGCGAGGCCAGGAGCTATAATTCGACCCCTGCAACCACATTTAGGTAAGTACATATGAATACACATATACGCACATGTGAAATACACAAGTAACCACATAATCAGTACACATGAATACACATACATAGTATTCATACACACACAACATACATACATACATACATACTCACGAATTTATATGTTAACACTGTCAGTACTCAGTATTAACACTGTCAGTACTCAGTATTAACACTGTCAGTACTCAGTATTAACACTGTCAGTACTCAGTATTAACACTGTCAGTACTCAGTATTAACATTGTCAGTACTTAGTATTAACACTGTCAGTACTCAGTATTAACACTGTCAGTACTCAGTATTAACACTGTCAGTACTTAGTATTAACACTGTCAGTACTCAGTATTAACATTGTCAGTACTCAGTATTAACACTGTCAGTACTTAGTATTAACACTGTCAGTACTTAGTATTAACACTGTCAGTACTCAGTATTAACACTGTCAGTACTCAGTATTAACACTGTCAGTACTCAGTATTAACACTGTCAGTACTCAGTATTAACACTGTCAGTACTCAGTATTAACACTGTCAGTACTCAGTATTAACACTGTCAGTACTCAGTATTAACACTGTCAGTACTCAGTATTAACACTGTCAGTACTTAGTATTAACACTGTCAGTACTCAGTATAACACTGTCAGTACTTAGTATTAACACTGTCAGTACTTAGTATTAACACTGTCAGTACTCAGTATTAACACTGTCAGTACTAAGTATTAACACTGTCAGTACTAAGTATTAACACTGTCAGTACTCAGTATTAACACTGTCAGTACTCAGTATTAACACTGTCAGTACTCAGTATTAACACTGTCAGTACTAAGTATTAACACTGTCAGTACTAAGTATTAACACTGTCAGTACTCAGTATTAACACTGTCAGTACTCAGTATTAACACTGTCAGTACTCAGTATTAACACTGTCAGTACTAAGTATTAACACTGTCAGTACTCAGTATTAACACTGTCAGTACTAAGTATTAACACTGTCAGTACTCAGCATTAACACTGTCAGTACTCAGTATTAGCACTGTCAGTACTATTAACACTGTCAGTTCTCAGTATTAACACTGTCAGTACCCAGTATTAACACTGTCAGTACTCAGTATTAACACTGTCAGTACTCAGTATTAACACTGTCAGTACTCAGTATTAACACTGTCAGTACTCAGTATTAACACTGTCAGTACTCAGCATTAACAGTGTCAGTACTCAGTATTAACACTGTCAGTACTCAGTGTTAACACTGTCAGTACTAACACTGTCAGTACTCAGTATTAACACTGTCAGTACTCAGCATTAACACTGTAAGTACTCAGTATTAACATTGTCAGTACTCAGTATTAACACTGTCAGTACTCAGTATTAACACTGTCAGTACTCAGTATTAATACTGTCAGTACTCAGTATTAATACTGTCAGTACTCAGTATTAACACTGTCAGTACTCAGTATTAACACTGTCAGTACTCAGTATTAACACTGTCCGTACTCAGCATTAACACTGTCAGTACTCAGTATTAACACTGTCAGTACTCAGTATTAATACTGTCAGTACTCAGTATTAACACTGTCAGTACTCAGTATTAACACTGTCAGTACTCAGTATTAACACTGTCCGTACTCAGCATTAACACTGTCAGTACTCAGTATTATTACTGTCAGTACTCAGTATTAACATTGTCAGTACTCAGCATTAACACTGTCAGTACTCAGCATTAACACTGTCAGTACTCAGTATTAACATTGTCAGTACTCAGTATTAATACTGTCAGTACTCGGTATTAACATTGTCAGTACTCAGTATTAATACTGTCAGTACTCAGTATTAACATTGTCAGTACTCAGTATTAACACTGTCAGTACTCAGTATTAACATTGTCAGTACTCAGTATTAACACTGTCAGTACTCAGTATTAACACTGTCAGTACTCAGCATTAACACTGTCAGTACTCAGTATTAACACTGTCAGTACTCAGTATTAACATTGTCAGTACTCAGTATTAATACTGTCAGTACTCGGTATTAATACTGTCAGTACTCGGTATTAATACTGTCAGTACTCGGTATTAACATTGTCAGTACTCAGTATTAATACTGTCAGTACTCAGTATTAACATTGTCAGTACTCAGTATTAATACTGTCATTACTCAGTATTAACACTGTCAGTACTCAGTATTAATACTGTCAGTACTCAGTATTAATACTGTCAGTACTCAGTATTAACACTGTCAGTACTCAGTATTAATACTGTCAGTACTCAGTATTAACACTGTCAGTACTCAGTATTAATACTGTCAGTACTCAGTATTAATACTGTCAGTACTCAGTATTAACATTGTCAGTACTCAGTATTAACACTGTCAGTACTCAGTATTAACATTGTCAGTACTCAGTATTAACACTGTCAGTACTCAGTATTAACACTGTCAGTACTCAGTATTAACACTGTCAGTACTCAGTATTAACACTGTCAGTACTCAGTATTAACACTGTCAGTACTCAGTATTAACACTGTCAGTACTCAGTATTAACACTGTCAGTACTCAGTATTAACACTGTCAGTACTCAGTATTAACACTGTCAGTACTCAGTATTAACACTGTCAGTACTCAGTATTAACACTGTCAGTACTCAGTATTAACATTGTCAGTACTCAGTATTAACACTGTCAGTACTCAGCATTAACACTGTCAGTACTCAGCATTAACATTGTCAGTACTCAGTATTAACACTGTCAGTACTCAGTATTAACACTGTCAGTATTAAGTATTAACACTGTCAGTACTAAGTATTAACACTGTCAGTACTAAGTATTAACACTGTCAGTACTCAGTATTAATACCGTCAGTACTCAGTGTTCCCAGAACAAAGTTACTGATGATAATCTTGGTATCCAGGGAGATGAGTCCTACCAGAGTTCTTGCTACAGCATCCCAGGTGACCAACTCTCCTGGAGTGATGCACAGAACCACTGTCTCTCCAGGACCTCACACCTGGCTGTCATTAATGACAGGTAAGATAGCTGTCTCTCAGAACCTCACACCTGGCTGTCATTAATGACAGGTAAGATAGCTGTCTTTCAGAACCTCACACCTGGCTGTCACTAATGGCAGGTAAGATAGCTGTCTCGCAGAACCTCACACCTGGCTGTCATTAATGGCAGGTAAGATAGCTGTCTCTCAGAACCTCACACCCTGGCTGTCATTAATGACAGGTAAGATAGCTGTCTCGCAGAACCTCACTCCCTGGCTGTCATTAATGGCAGGTAAGATAGCTGTCTCGCAGAACCTCACACCCTGGCTGTCATTAATGACAGGTAAGATAGCTGTCTCGCAGAACCTCACACCTGGCTGTCATTAATGACAGGTAAGATAGCTGTCTCTCCAGAACCTCACACCTGGCTGTCATTAATGACAGGTAAGATAGCTGTCTCGCAGAACCTCACACCTGGCTGTCATTAATGGCAGGTAAGATAGCTGTCTCTCCAGAACCTCACACCTGGCTGTCATTAATGACAGGTAAGATAGCTGTCTCTCAGAACCTCACACCTGGCTGTCATTAATGACAGGTAAGATAGCTGTCTCGCAGAACCTCACACCTGGCTGTCACTAATGGCAGGTAAGATAGCTGTCTCGCAGAACCTCACACCCTGGCTGTCATTAATGACAGGTAAGATAGCTGTCTCGCAGAACCTCACACCTGGCTGTCATTAATGACAGGTAAGATAGCTGTCTCGCAGAACCTCACACCCTGGCTGTCATTAATGACAGGTAAGATAGCTATCTCTCAGAACCTCACACCCTGGCTGTCATTAATGACAGGTAAGATAGCTATCTCTCAGAACCTCATACCCTGGCTGTCATTAATGACAGGTAAGATAGCTGTCTCGCAGAACCTCACACCTGGCTGTCATTAATGACAGGTAAGATAGCTATCTCGCAGAACCTCACACCTGGCTGTCATTAATGACAGGTAAGATAGCTATCTCTCAGAACCTCACACCTGGCTGTCATTAATGACAGGTAAGATAGCTATCTCTCAGAACCTCACACCTGGCTGTCATTAATGACAGGTAAGATAGCTATCTCTCAGAACCTCACACCTGGCTGTCATTAATGACAGGTAAGATAGCTATCTCTCAGAACCTCACACCTGGCTGTCATTAATGGCAGGTAAGATAGCTATCTCTCAGAACCTCACACCTGGCTGTCATTAATGACAGGTAAGATAGCTATCTCTCAGAACCTCACACCTGGCTGTCATTAATGACAGGTAAGATAGCTATCTTTCAGAACCTCACACCTGGCTGTCATTAATGACAGGTAAGATAGCAACTTAATGATCATAACTGCACTACTAATTAAATAATATTACTATTATTGATGATACATAGTACTGTTTCTGTCATTATTCTACCTGACGTCTAACAATTTTCTTTTTAAAGACATCTACTGACAGAGTCATGGTAGATGGGCTTCCTCTATTTTCTTAGGGAGGCTAAACCCGTAAAAACCCATCACAAAAGTCACTTATTATCATCATTACGTATTCTAATGGGTTTTTTTGTGTGGCGTGTATAGAGAGGAATCAGAATTCGTGCGAGGTCTGTTTGGTGAGGCGGGGAGAGGTTGCTGGCTCGGTGGATCTGTCAGCCAGGTTGATGACGACCCTCCGGTGCTCTCCTGGGTCAACCATCAACCATTTACCTTCATCAACTGGAACGAATATCAACCAAGTGAGTTATTGATGTACTGAGAGATACTGTTATTAATGTAGTGAGAGAGACTAAGTGTACTGTTGATGTACTGAGAGACTGAGTTATTGATGTACTGAGAGATACTTAGGCAGTTATTGATGTTTTGAGAGATACTTAGGCAGTTATTGATGTACTGAGAGATATTGTTATTAATGTAGTGAGAGAGACTAAGTGTACTGTTGATGTACTGAGAGAGACTGAGTTATTGATGTACTGAGAGATACTTAGGCAGTTATTGATGTACTGAGAGATACTTAGGCAGTTATTGATGTACTGAGAGATACTTAGGCAGTTATTGATGTACTGAGAGATACTTAGGCAGTTATTGATGTACTGAGAGATACTTAGGGAGTTATTGATGTTTTGAGAGATACTTAGGCAGTTATTGATGTACTGAGAGATACTTAGGGAGTTATTGATGTTTTGAGAGATACTTAGGCAGTTATTGATGTACTGAGAGATACTTAGGGAGTTATTGATGTTTTGAGAGATACTTAGGCAGTTATTGATGTACTGAGAGATACTTAGGCAGTTATTGATGTACTGAGATCTTAAGGCAGTTATTGATGTACTGAGAGATTAAGGCAGTTATTGATGTACTGAGAGATACTTAGGCAGTTATTGATGTTTTGAGAGATACTTAGGCAGTTATTGATGTTTTGAGAGATACTTAGGCAGTTATTGATGTTTTGAGAGATACTTAGGCAGTTATTGATGTTTTGAGAGATACTTAAGCAGTTATTGATGTTTTGAGAGATACTTAGGCAATTATTGATGTTTCGAGAGATACTTAGGCAGTTATTGATGTTTTGAGAGATACTTAGGTAGTTATTGATGTTTTGAGAGATACTTAGGCAGTTATTGATGTTCTGAGAGATACTTAAGCAGTTATTGATGTTTTGAGAGATACTTAGGCAATTATTGATGTTTCGAGAGATACTTAGGCAGTTATTGATGTTTTGAGAGATACTTAGGTAGTTATTGATGTTTTGAGAGATACTTAGGTAGTTATTGATGTTTTGAGAGATACTTAGGCAGTTATTGATGTTTTGAGAGATACTTAGGCAGTTATTGATGTTTTGAGAGATACTTAGGCAGTTATTGATGTACTGAGAGATTAAGGCAGTTATTGATGTACTGAGAGACTAAGGCAGTTATTGATGTAGTGAGAGATTAAGGCAGTTATTGATGTTCTGAGAGACTAAGGCAGTTATTGATGTTCTGAGAGACTAAGGAAGTTATTGATGTACTGAGAGACTAAGGCAGTTATTGATGTTCTGAGAGATTAAGGCAGTTATTGATGTTCTGAGAGACTAAGGCAGTTATTGATATTTTGAGAGATACTTAGGTAGTTATTGATGTTTTGAGATATATTTAGGCAATTATTGATGTTTCGAGAGATACTTAGGCAGTTATTGATGTTTCGAGAGATACTTAGGCAGTTATTGATGTTTTGAGAGATACTTAGGCAATTATTGATGTTTTGAGAGATACTTAGGCAATTATTGATATTTTGAGAGATACTTAGGCAGTTATTGATGTTCTGAGAGATACTTAAGCAGTTATTGATGTTTTGAGAGATACTTAGGCAATTATTGATGTTTCGAGAGATACTTAGGCAGTTATTGATGTTTTGAGAGATACTTAGGTAGTTATTGATGTTTTGAGAGATACTTAGGTAGTTATTGATGTTTTGAGAGATACTTAGGTAGTTATTGATGTTTTGAGAGATACTTAGGCAGTTATTGATGTTTTGAGAGATACTTAGGTAGTTATTGATGTTTTGAGAGATACTTAGGGAGTTATTGATGTTTTGAGAGATACTTAGGGAGTTATTGATGTTTTGAGAGATACTTAGGGAGTTATTGATGTTTTGAGAGATACTTAGGCAGTTATTGATGTTTTGAGAAATACTTAGGGAGTTATTGATGTTTTGAGAGATACTTAGGGAGTTATTGATGTTTTGAGAGATACTTAGGCAGTTATTGATGTTTTGAGAGATACTTAGGCAGTTATTGATGTTTTGAGAGATACTTAGGCAGTTATTGATGTACTGAGAGATTAAGGCAGTTATTGATGTACTGAGAGACTAAGGCAGTTATTGATGTACTGAGAGATTAAGGCAGTTATTGATGTTCTGAGAGACTAAGGCAGTTATTGATGTTCTGAGAGACTAAGGAAGTTATTGATGTACTGAGAGACTAAGGCAGTTATTGATGTTCTGAGAGATTAAGGCAGTTATTGATGTTCTGAGAGACTAAGGCAGTTATTGATGTTCTGAGAGACTAAGGCAGTTATTGATATTTTGAGAGATACTTAGGTAGTTATTGATGTTTTGAGATATATTTAGGCAATTATTGATGTTTCGAGAGATACTTATACAGTTATTGATGTTTCGAGAGATACTTAGGCAGTTATTGATGTTTTGAGAGATACTTAGGCAATTATTGATGTTTTGAGAGATACTTAGGCAGTTATTGATGTTTTGAGAGATACTTAGGCAGTTATTGATGTTTTGAGAGATACTTAGGCAGTTATTGATGTTTTGAGAGATACTTAGGCAGTTATTGATGTTTTGAGAGATACTTAGGGAGTTATTGATGTACTGGGAGATTAAGGCAGTTATTGATGTAACAGTGTGATTACCCTGGTACAACAGTGTGATAACTACCCTGGTATAATAGTGTGATAACTGCCCTGGTACAATAGTGTGATTATCCTGGTACAACAGTTTGATTACCCTGGTACAACAGTTTGATAACTACCCTGGTATAACAGTGTGATAACTACCCTGGTACAACAGTGTGATTACCCTGGTATAACAGTGTGATAACTACCCTGGTACAACAGTGTGATTACCCTGGTACAACAATGTGATAACTCCCCTGGTACAACAGTGTGATTACCCTGGTACAACAGTAATGTAACTACCCTCGTACAACAGTAATGTATCTACCCTGGTACAGCAGTAATATAATTACCCTGGAACAACAGTAATATAATTACCCTGGAACAACAGTAATATAATTACCCTGGTACAACAGTAATATAACTACCCTGGTACAACAGTAATGTAACTACCCTGGTACAACAGTAATATAACTACCCTGGTACAACAGTCATGTAACTACCCTGGTACAACAGTAATGAAACTACCCTGGTACAACAGTAATGAAACTACCCTGGTACAACAGTAATGAAACTACCCTGGTACAACAGTAATGAAACTACCCTGGTACAACAGTAATGTAACTACCCTGGTACAACAGTAATGTAACTACCCTGGTACAACAGTAATGTAACTACCCTGGTACAACAGTAATGTAACTACCCTGGTACAACAGTAATATAATTCCCCTGGTACAACAGTAATATAATTCCCCTGGTACAACAGTAATATAAGTACCCTTGTACAACAGTAACGTAACTACTCTGGCACAGGTCTGGAAGACGGAATGTGTCTGAGAGTGGCCGACAACTCTGGTGCCTGGATAATGTCCCACTGCCAGGAGAAACTAAACTATATCTGTAAGTATACTCACCTGTTTGTACTCACCTTTATGTGGTTATAGAGTTTGTGTCATAGCTCCTGGCCCCGCCTCTTCGCTGGTCGCTACTAGGTCCACTCTCTCCCTGCTTCATGAGCTTTATCATACCTCTTCTTAAAGCTATGTATGGTTCCTGCCTCCACTACATCACACTCCAGGTTTTTCCACATCATGACAACTCTGTGGCTGAAGAAATACTTCCTAACATCCCTGTGATTCATCTGAGTCTTCAATTTCTAATTGTGACCCCTTGTTTCTGTGTCCCATCTCTGGAACATCCTGTCTCTGTGCACCTTGTCAGTCTCTCGTTTTTTTGAGATAAGATTTTGCTTGGATTTTTAATCCCCGGGGGTTAGCCACTCAGGATAATTCAGGAAAAATCAGCACGTCATTAAAAACTGTTTCTTATAACCATTGTAGTCCTTAAATCTTGTCCTCCAGGATGCGACCCACACCAGTCGACTAACACTAGGTACCTACTTACTGCTAGGTAAACAAGGACAAGTGTAGTGAGACATGTACAGTGTTATACTCCCTTTATCCCTCCTGTTCTCAAGTGTCGTCAGGTTGAATTCCTTAACCTCTCCTCGTAGGGCATGTCCCTTACCTCCGGGACTAGTCTCGTTGCAAACCTTTGCATTTCTTCTAATTTCTTGACGTGCTTGACCAGGTGTGAGTTCCATACTGGTTCTGCATACTCCACCTTGGGCCTGACGTGCATGGTGTCGAAAAGCTATTCTCAGGTTTGTCAGGCGCCCATATGCTGCAGCAGTTATATGGTTGATGCGTGCCTCAGGAGATGTGCTCGGTATTATACCAACCCCATGATCCTTTTCCTTGAGTTAGGGTTGCAGCCTTTGACCCACTAGCCTGTACTCAGTCTGCGGTCCTCTTTGACCTTCCCAATCTTCATAACCCCACTTTGTGGGGTTAAAATCCAGAAGCCATTTGTTGGACCAGGCTTGCAGCCTGTCCAGATCCCCTTGTAGTCCTGCCTGATCCTCCTCCGCTTCTATTCTCCGCATTAACTTCACGTAGCCTGCAATCAGGGACACCGCTGACTCCATCCCTGCCTCATGTTACTCACATATACCAGAAACAGCAAGATGGGAGGAGTATATGGAGAGAGAAGAGGTTAAGAGAGTGGTGAAGCAATGTAGAAGGAGAGCAAATGAGAGAGAGTGGGTGAAGTGTCACAAAATTTAGCTGAGAATAAGAAAAGTTTTGGAGTGAGATTAATAAGAAAGCCTACGGAACTAATGGAGAGGAGAGCTATATCAGGAGAATATTTTGAGGAACTCTTAAATGTGAATGAAGACAGGAAACCTGTGATTTTGTGTATATGGCAGGGAGGAATAACATCTTGTAGGAGTGAGGAAAAGTCAGTTGTGAGTGTGGGGGAAGTTCGTGAGGCAGTGGATAGAATGAAAGGGGATAAATCAGCTGGGATTGATGGGATAAAGATAGAAATGCTCAAAGCTGGTGGGGATGTAGTTTTGAAATGGCTGGTGCTAGTACCGAGTAAACGTATGGACGAGGGTAAGATATCTAGGGATTAGCAGAGAGCAGGGATAGTTCCTGTGTATAAAGGCAAAGGGGACAAAAGAGTGTAAAAATTATAAGGGAATAATTCTGTTGAGTATACCTGGTAAAGTGTATGGTAGTCATTGAAAGAATTATGAGTAAGATGGAGAGCAGGATAGCAGATGAACAAGGAGGATTTAGGAAGAGTAGGGGCTGTGTAGACCAAGTGTTTACAGTGAAACATAGATGAACAGTACTTAGATGAGGGTAAAAACGTCTTCGTTGCATTTATGATAGGGAAGCAATGTAGCAGATGTTACAAATGAATATAATAGGAGGTAGGTTACTGAAAACAATGAAGAGTTTTTATGAGGATAGTGAAGCTCAGGTTAGAGTATGTGAGAGAGAGGGAAATTATTTCCCAATAAAAGTAGGCCTTAGACAGGGATGTGTGATGTCACCATGGTTGTTCGATATATTTATAGATGGATAACTAACAAAAAGGCACAATACCGTTAAGGAGGCAGTATATATACTGCCTTTTTTTCTCTTTTCTGTTAGTGTGACTTTGTAAATGGTCCAAGTCGAACCGAAATGTCGCCGTAAACTCCCTTCTCCTATGTACGGGTTATATGTATATTTATAGATGGGGTTGTAAGAGAAGTGAATGCTCGGATGTTGGCAAGAGTGTGGGGATAAAAGATAAAGAATCTAACACAAAGTGGGAATTGTCACAGTTGCTCTTTGCTGATGACACTGTGCTTTTGGGAAATTCCTAAGAGAAGTTGCAGAAGTTGGTCGATGAGTTTGGTAGGGTGAGTAAAAAACGAAATTAAAAGTGAACGAAGGAAAGAATAAGGTGATAAGGATAAAAAAAAATTAGATAATAAAAGACTGGATATCAGAATAGAGGAAGTATGGAGGAAGCATCAGCAGATGGGTCCATGAAAGATGAAGTGAATAACAGAACTGACAAGAGGAAAAAGGTGAGTGGTGCACTGAGGAGTCTGTGGAGACACAGAACCTTATCTATGAGAGCACAGAAGGGAATGTATGCGAGTATAATGGTGCCAACACTCTTTTATGGGTGTGACGCATGAATGGTGAATGTTGCAACAAGGAGAAGGCTGGAGGCAGTGGAGATGTCGTGCGTGAGGGCAATGTGTGGTGTGAATATAATGCAGAAAATCCGTGATTTGGAAATTAGGAGAAGGTGGGAGATGTGTTAATAAAAAAAAATCAACTTTTTATCTGTTGTTAGTTTAGATAAAAACTTAATATTTTTTAAACAAAATAAAGAGAATTGATTGAAAAATATACGAAATAAAAAATGAAACAAACTAAAAATTTTATAAATAAAATTAATAAATTGGATGTTATAGAATCCAAAAGAAATTTATTTTCAAGTAAGATGCAGTAATATTGAAGGTTTCAAGCCGATCAGTCGTGGCATTTTTTAGGTTAGATCACAAATTCCAACAATTTATCAACAGTGAAAATGCTGCTTTCTAAGTGCGATAAACCAGCATTAAAGGTTTAGAATCGATCCAAAGAGTCATTCTTCTGATATTGTTAACCAGTATATGGTAATTTCTTCAATAAAACTGTTACTTATGCGGTCTGATAATAATAATAATACAAACATTTATTTGATCAAAATTCAGTAACATCATAAGTTTTAATTAATGAGAAGCATGTGTTACACTTGTGAATCTTTATTCTGGAAACGTTTCACCCGCCAGTGTCGTCTTCAGACCAATACCGTTCAAGGCGGGTGAAACTCTAGATCTAGAGAGTGTACAGAGAACTTTTACTGCACATATGAGGTCTGTCAAACACCTCAACTACTGGGAACGCTTTGTAACACTTGACTTGTACTCACTGGAACACAAGCGAGACAGATACATCATAATCTTAGTCTGACTAGTCCCTAATCTGCACACAGAAATCACTCCCTACAAAAGTATAAGCAGGGGCACCACTGGTACACTAAGAGAAAGCACCATAAGTGTCTGGGGCTCAAGACTGTTCAACAGCCTCCCACCAGGCATAAGGGGAATTACCAGTAGACCCCTGGCTGCCTTCTAGATGGAGCTGGACAGGTACTTAAAGTCGGTGCCATATCAGCTGGGCTGTTTCGTACGTTGGAATACGTCCGAGGACATATGTCCTCAGATGGCGGTAAAACAGCTAGGTCTGCTGGCTGCACCATTCTTGTAGGATTTGGTGGTCCTGTGGGTTAAAGCATGATGTGGTTCTCGTTCACCATGAGATGAGCCAGTACAACATGGGTTAGTCCTTGACTTTTACATACTGTGTTCTGTGCCCTGTTCCTGCCAGAGAGAGGGACCGAGTTTTTTTTTCAGAGTCATGGTCGAGGACGACCATGGGTACGTGGCCGAGCAAAATGTAGACAGTAAACCTACTTGGTTAGTTTCCATAGATTCCAGCAGAGGGCAAACCTCGGTGGGCATACTCAGCTCATACCACGACTGCCTCGCCCTTGGGCAGCCAACTTTACTCGGGAAACAAGGTGCTACTCCGTCTTTCCCTCATGGGTATGGCCTCCCTGGGCCTGGGCACTTAAAACACACTGCCTCTGTACCACGAACCGCAAATAAAATAAGCATTTAAAGAATAACATTGACCTTCTGCTTTGATCACCCCACATAATTATTGACATACACTGAGACAACACAGTGTCAGGGGCCCAAACCTGTTCAACTGCCTCCCAGCATTCATAAGGGGGATTACCAATAGACCCCTGACTGTCTTCAAGGGGAGCTGGACAGGCACCTCAAGTCAGTACTTGACCAGCCGGGCTGTGTCATACGTTAGTTTATATGCGGCCAGCAGTAACAGCCTGGTTGATCGAACCCTGGTCCATAACGAGACCTGACCACGGACCGGGCCGTGGGGGCGTTGACCCCCGGAACACCCTCCTGGTATACTCCGGGTGCCAGTGGTGGAATAGAATGGCTCACCCAGGGAAGAAATACCAACCCTGTGGTCAGCTGACATCTCCTACCCTGTGGTCAGCTGATATCTCCTACCCTGTGGTCAGCTGACATCTCCTACCCTGTGGTCAGCTGACATCTCCTACCCTGTGGTCAGCTGACATCTCCTACCCTGTGGTCAGCTGACATCTCCTACCCTGTGGGCAGCTGACATCTCCTACCCTGTGGGCAGCTGACATCTCCTACCCTGTGGTCAGCTGACATCTCCTACCCTGTGGGCAGCTGACATCTCCTACCCTGTGGTCAGCTGACATCTCCTACCCTGTGGTCAGCTGACATCTCCTACCCTGTGGGCAGCTGACATCTCCTACCCTGTGGGCAGCTGACATCTCCTACCCTGTGGGCAGCTGACATCTCCTACCCTGTGGTCAGCTGACATCTCCTACCCTGTGGTCAGCTGACATCTCCTACCCTGTGGTCAGCTGACATCTCCTACCCTGTGGGCAGCTGACATCTCCTACCCTGTGGGCAGCTGACATCTCCTACCCTGTGGGCAGCTGACATCTCCTACCCTGTGGTCAGCTGACATCTCCTACCCTGTGGGCAGCTGACATCTCCTACCCTGTGGTCAGCTGACATCTCCTACCCTGTGGTCAGCTGACATCTCCTACCCTGTGGGCAGCTGACATCTCCTACCCTGTGGGCAGCTGACATCTCCTACCCTGTGGTCAGCTGACATCTCCTACCCTGTGGTCAGCTGACATCTCCTACCCTGTGGTCAGCTGACATCTCCTACCCTGTGGTCAGCTGACATCTACCCTGTGGTCAGCTGACATCTCCTACCCTGTGGTCAGCTGACATCTCCTACCCTGTGGTCAGCTGACATCTCCTACCCTGTGGGCAGCTGACATCTCCTACCCTGTGGTCAGCTGACATCTCCTACCCTGTGGTCAGCTGACATCTTACCCGGCCCAAACATTAAGCAGGTAGTTAACATAACTTACGACGTCTACAAGATAAACTCTCCGACCAGTACCATAATAATTACGATTATAATTACGATGATAATTACGATGATACTTATGAAAGTATAGTAGTACCAACACACTTATATGGGTGTGAAGCTTGGGTGGTAAATGCAGCAGCGAGGAGACAGTTGGAGGCAGTGGAGATGTCCTGTCTAAGGGCAATGTGTGGTGTAAATATTATGCAGAAGATTCGGAGTGTGGAAATTAGAAGAAGGTGTGGAGTTAATAAAAGTATTAGTCAGAGGGCAGAAGAGGGGTTGTTGAGGTGGTTTGGTCATTTAGAGAGAATGAATCAAAGTAGAATGACATGGAAAGCATATAAATCTATAGGGGAAGGAAAGAGGGGTAGGGGTCGTCCTCGAAAGGGTTGGAAAGAGGGGGTAAAGGAGGTTTTGTGGGCGAGGGGCTTGGACTTCCAGCAAGCGTGCGTGAGCGTGTTAGATAGGAGTGAATGGAGACGAATGGTACTTGGGACCTGACGATCTGTTGGAGTGTGAGCAGGGTAATATTTAGTGAAGGGATTCAGGAAACCGGTTATTTTCATATAGTCGGACTTGAGTCCTGGAAATGGGAAGTACAATGCCTGCACTTTAAAGGAGGGGTTTGGGATATTGGCAGTTTGGAGGGATATGTTGTGTATCTTTATATGTTTATGCTTCTAGACTGTTGTATTCTGAGCACCTCTGCAAAAACAGTGATAATGTGCGAGTGTGGTGAAAGTGTTGAATGATGAAAGTATTTTCTTTTTGGGGATTTTCTTTCTTTTTTGGGTCACCCTACCTCGGTGGGAGACGGCCGACTTGTTGAAAAAAAAAATTACGATGATAATTACGATAATTACTATGATAATATTAATATGCAAAATTTCCTTCAGGTGAGTATGAGATTACTACACCCACTCAGCCGCCCACTCAGCCGCCCACCCAGCCGCCCACCGAGCCACCCACCCAGCCGCCCACTGAGCCACCCACCCAGCCGCCCACCGAGCCACCCACCCAGCCGCCCACAGAGCCATCCACCCAGCTGCCCATAGAGCCGCCCACCCAGCCGCCCACAGCCACGTGCAGTGATGGGTGGCACCTAATAGTGAACCGTTGTTACAGAGTAGGTCCCTGAACCCCAGGGTTACCCGGGGTGGATAACACTCCTCCAGGGTTACCCTGGGTGGATAACACTCCTCCAGGGTTACCCTGGGTGGATAACATTCCTCCAGGGTTACCCTGGGTGGATAACACTCCTCCAGGGTTACCCTGGGTGGATAACACTCCTCCAGGGTTACCCTGGGTGGATAACACTCCTCCAGGGTTACCCGGGGTGGATAACATTCCTCCAGGGTTACCCGGGGTGGATAACACTCCTCCAGGGTTACCCGGGTGGATAAACATCCTCAGGGTTACCCTGGGTGGATAACATCCTCCAGGGTTACCCTGAGTGGATAACACTCCTTCAGGGTTACCCTGGGTGGATAACACTCCTCCAGGGTTACCCTGGGTGGATAACATTCCTCCAGGGTTACCCGGGGTGGATAACACTCCTCCAGGGTTACCCTGGGTGGATAACATTCCTCCAGGGTTACCCTGGGTGGATAACACTCCTCCAGGGTTACCCTGGGAGGATAACATTCCTTCAGGGTTACCCTGGGTGGATAACATTCCTCCAGGGTTACCCTGGGTGGATAACACTCCTCCAGGGTTACCCTGGGTGGATAACATTCCTCCAGGGTTACCCTGGGTGGATAACATTCCTCCAGGGTTACCCTGGGTGGATAACACTCCTCCAGGGTTACCCTGGGTGGATAACATTCCTCCAGGGTTACCCTGGGTGGATAACATTCCTCCCAGGGTTACCCGGGTGGATAACACTCCTCCAGGTTACCCTGGGTGGATAACACTCCTCCAGGGTTACCCTGGGTGATAACACTCCTCCAGGGTTACCCTGGGTGATAACATTCCTCCAGGGTTTACCCTGGGTGGATAACATTCCTCCAGGTTTACCCTGGGTGGATAACACTCCTCCAGGGTTACCCTGGGTGGATAACATTCCTCCAGGGTTACCCTGGGTGGATAACATTCCTCCAGGGTTACCCTGGGTGGATAACACTCCTCCAGGGTTACCCTGGGGTGGATAACATTCCTCCAGGGTTACCCTGGGTGGATAACATTCCTCCAGGGTTACCTGGGTGGATAACATTCCTCCAGGGTTACCCGGGTGGGATAACACTCCTCCAGGGTTACCCTGGGCGGATAACAACTCCTCCAGGGTTAACCCTGGGTGGATAACATTCCTCCAGGGTTACCCTGGGTGGATAACACTCCTCCAGGGTTACCCTGGGTGGATAACATTCCTCCAGGGTTACCCTGGGTGGATAACATTCCTCCAGGGTTACCTGGTGGATAACACTCCTCCAGGGTTACCCTGGGTGGATAACACTCCTCCAGGGTTACACGGGGTGGATAACATTCCTCCAGGGTTACCCTGGGTGGATAACACTCCTCCAGGGTTACCCTGGGTGGATAACACTCCTCCAGGGTTACCCTGGGTGGATAACACTCCTCCAGGGTTACACGGGGTGGATAACACTCCTCCAGGGTTACACGGGGTGGATAACACTCCTCCAGGGTTACCCTGGGTGGATAACACTGCCTCACTGTGATAGTAACACTATGATACTAACGCTCACTATGATAGTAACACTATGATACTAACACTCACTATGATAGTAACACTATGATACTAACACTCACTATGATAGTAACACTATGATAGTAACACTCACTATGATAGTAACACTATGATAGTAACACTCACTATGATAGTAACACTATGGTAGTAACACTCACTATGATAGTAACACTATGATAGTAACACTCACTATGATAGTAACACTATGATAGTAACACTCACTATGATAGTAACACTCACTATGGTAGTAGCACTCACTATGATAGTAACACTATGATAGTAACACTCACTATGATAGTAACACTATGATAGTAACACTCACTATGATAGTAACACTCACTATGATAGTAACACTATGATAGTAACACTATGATAGTAACACTCACTATGATAGTAACACTATGATAGTAGCACTCACTATGATAGTAACACTATGATAGTAACACTCACTATGATAGTAACACTATGATAGTAACACTCACTATGATAGTAACACTATGATAGTAACACTATGATAGTAACACTCACTATGATAGTAACACTATGATAGTAACACTCACTATGATAGTAACACTATGATAGTAACACTATGATAGTAACACTATGATAGTAGCACTCACTATGATAGTAGCACTCACTATGATAGCAACACTATGATAGTAACACTATGATAGCACTCACTATGATAGTAACACTATGATAGTAACACTCACTATGATAGTAACACTATGATAGTAACACTCACTATGATAGTAACACTCACTATGATAGTAACACTATGATAGTAACACTATGATAGTAACACTATGATAGTAACACTATGATAGTAACACTCACTATGATAGTAACACTATGATAGTAACACTATGATAGTAACACTATGATAGTAACACTATGATAGTAACACTATGATAGCAACACTATGATAGTAACACTATGATAGTAACACGCACTATGATAGTAACACTCACTATGGTAGTAACACTATGATAGTAACACTCACTATGATAGTAACACTATGATAGTAACACTCACTATGATAGTAACACTATGATAGTAACACTATGATAGTAACACTCACTATGATAGTAACACTATGATAGTAACACTCACTATGATAGTAACACTATGATAGTAACACTCACTATGATAGTAACACTATTGTAGTAACACTCACTATGATAGTAACACTATGATAGTAACACTCACTATGATAGTAACACTATGGTAGTAGCACTCACTATGATAGTAACACTATGATAGTAACACTCACTATGGTAGTAGCACTCACTATGATAGTAACACTCACTATGGTAGTAGCACTCACTATGATAGTAACACTCACTATGGTAGTAACACTATGATAGTAACACTCACTATGGTAGTAGCACTCACTATGATAGTAACACTCACTATGATAGTAACACTATGATAGTAACACTCACTATGGTAGTAGCACTCACTATGATAGTAACACTCACTATGGTAGTAGCACTCACTATGATAGTAACACTCACTATGGTAGTAACACTCACTATGATAGTAACACTAACTATGATAGTAACACTATGATAGTAACACTAATTATGATAGTAACACTATGATAGTAACACTAACTATGATAGTAACACTAACTATGATAGTAACACTATGATAGTAACACTATGATAGTAACACTATGATAGTAACACTATGATAGTAACACTATGATAGTAACACTATGATAGTAACACTATGATAGTAACACTCACTATGATAGTAACACTAACTATGATAGTAACACTAACTATGATAGTAACACTAACTATGATAGTAACACTCACTATGATAGTAACACTATGATAGTAACACTATGATAGTAACACTCACTATGATAGTAACACTCACTATGATAGTAACACTCACTATGATAGTAACACTAACTATGATAGTAACACTAACTATGATAGTAACACTCACTATGATAGTAACACTATGAAAGTAACACTATGATAGTAACACTATGATAGTAACACTATGATAGTAACACTATGATAGTAACACTCACTATGATAGTAACACTATGATAGTAACACTCACTATGATAGTAACACTAACTATGATAGTAACACTCACTAAGATAGTAACACTTATAGTAACACTATGATAGTAACACTCACTATGATAGTAACACTATGATAGTAACACTATGATAGTAACACTCACTATGATAGAAACACTATGATAGAAACACTATGATAGTAACACTATGATAGTAACACTTACTATCATAGTGTTACTATCATAGTGTTACTATCATAGTGTTACTATCATAGTGAGTGTTACTATCATAGTGAGTGTTACTATCATAGTGTTACTATCATAGTGTTTCTATCAAAGTGAGTGTTACTATCATAGTGAGTGTTACTATCATAGTAACACTCACTATGATAGTAACACTCACTTTGATAGAAACACTATGATAGTAACACTATGATAGCAACTCACTATGATAGTAACACTCACTATGATAGTAACACTATGATAGTAACACTATGATAGTAACACTCACTATGATAGTAACACTAGGATAGTAACACTATGATAGTAACACTATGATAGTAACACTCACTATGATAGTAACACTATGATAGTAACACTATGATAGTAACACTATGATAGTAACACTATGATAGTAACACTATGATAGTAACACTCACTATGATAGTAACACTATGATAGTAACACTATGATAGTAACACTATGATAGTAACACTCACTATGATAGTAACACTATGATAGTAACACTCACTATAATAGTAACACTATGATAGTAACACTATGATAGAAACACTATGATAGTAACACTATGATAGTAACACTCACTATAATAGTAACACTATGATAGTAACACTATGATAGAAACACTATGATAGAAACACTATGATAGTAACACTATGATAGTAACACTCACTATAATAGTAACACTATGATAGTAACACTATGATAGAAACACTATGATAGTAACACTATGATAGTAACACTCACTATGATAGTAACACTCACTATGATAGTAACACTCACTATGATAGAAACACTATGATAGTAACACTATGATAGTAACACTCACTATAATAGTAACACTATGATAGTAACACTATGATAGAAACATTTTATAGTAACACTATGATAGTAACACTCACTATAATAGTAACACTATGATAGTAACACTATGATAGAAACACTATGATAGAAACACTATGATAGTAACACTATGATAGTAACACTCACATAATAGTAACACTATGATAGAAACACTATGATAGAAACACTATGATAAGTAACACTATGATATGTAACACTCACTATAATAGTAACACTATGATAGTAACACTATGATAGAAACACTATGATAGTAACACTATGATAGTAACACTCACTAT